TGGCACCTTGCCTCCTGCTGCAGACCCCTGTCCCCTGTCCCCCACTGGCACCTTGCCTCCTGCTGCAGAACCCTGCCTCCTGCTGCAGAACCCTGTCCCCTCTCCCCCACTGGCACCCTGCCTCCTGCTGCAGAACCCTGACCCCTGCCCTCCCAGCACCCTGTCCCCTCTCCACTGCCACAGAACCCTGTCCCTACTGGCACCATGTCCCCTGCCTCCTGCTGCAGAACCCTGTCCCCTGCCCTCCTGGCACCCTATTCCTTCTCCCCTGCACCCAGACATAGAACCCTGAACCTATTGCACCCTGTCCCCTGCCGCAGAACCCACTAGCACCCTTCCCCAGTATCATGTCCCCTGCTCCCACCAGCACAGTTGGGGCCACATTAGTGAGGCTTGGGGAGATTTGGAGGAGTTATTTTTTTGAATCTCACTTGTGTGGCCCCAACTGACTTTTCTGTGGGTCAGTGACCCCTGACTCAAAACAGGTTCCCCCGCCCTTCTCATACATAAAGACAGGGTGGAAACTTTTTGTGTTTGACATAGTATTTTATTTAAAAATGAAGCCTGGCCTACAAACCCCCAATTGGAGCCAACCCCCCATCTCGCCACAGCATCATAATACTCCTGCACTCCCCTTTCCCCAAGACCCTAGATCTGAGCCTATCATACATTGAAACTCCTTGCCCTGAGCCCCTCACATACCCCAACACAAATTCTGGTTCCTGAGCCAGCGTCCCCTTCTTCACCTCTTACTGCATCCAGATTTCCTCCCAGAGCTTACACCTCTCACCCCTTCCCACACCCAAATCCCTCATTCCCACCCGAGAGCCTACACATCCTGTCTCAACCCAGCAAGGGTACAGCTAGACTGCAGGAGTTTTTCAGGATTCCGGAGATATCCCTGAAAAACTCTTCTGCATCCAGGGATGTGTTTGTTCTTCCACTTTTTTTAGTGGAAGAGCAAACATGATCTTTCGGTAACCCCTGTATTCCTCCTTCCACAAGGAATAAGGAGGCTTCCAAAAGAAGTGGTTTTTCTGACATTTGGTCCAGTCTAGACAGGCCAAATGTTGGAAAAACCTCTTCCTACAGAAGAATTGAAAAAAAAAGCGCGGCAGTATAAGGGTTGGGGATAGCTAGTGATGGAGAAGAGGACACTAGAGAAGGTGGGGTAGGGCTTTAAGGAAGGGGTAGGGCTTCAAGGAAAGGGTGGGGTGTTAGAGGAAGGATAGGGCGGTAGATCTTGGCTTGTTCTGTCATTTAAAAAGTGATCTTGGGTGTAAAAAGGTTGGAGACCACTGCTCTAGGACACTAGGGCTCCAATGTTAATCCCATAGAAATCTTTAAAGAGAAGATGCCAACCTCAGTGTGCGCATCAGCCCACAGCAGCTGTGATCCAGCCTTATCCACTGCCAGCCCATTGGGCCAGCCCAGGTTGTTGCTGATCAGCACCAGGCGTCCTGAGCCATCCATGCCAGAGCGCTCCAGCTTGGCGTTCTCCCCCCAGTCTGTCCAGAACATGTATCTAGGGGGAAAGCCAAGAATGCATCAGAGAAACTGCGAAGAGGTTAATGCTGCCAGACCTGCTCCCTCAAGATAGCTCTCTGCCAGCACTAACCCCATCTCATGATACAGTGCAATTGCTCTTGGGCTGTCCAAGTTCTGCCAGACCAGAACCTTCCTCATTGATCCATCCAGGTTACCCACTTCAATCCGATTGGTTCCCGTGTCTGTCCAATACACCTTACGGCCAATAGCATCCACTGCCAGCCCATCTGTGGTCAGCAGTCCTGAGAAAGACAAATTGTACCAAGGTAACTTCTCATCTTTCAACACTGATCAGATGACCATGGGGATTACCCCTGCTCACCCCTCAGATATGAGAGATTTCCCCCTGCAGTATCAGTAGGACTTCCACCCCTGACTCCCAAAGAGCTGTGAAACCCAAACAGTCTCCCTCCAGGCTGCCACAGAAAGGCTTGGTGCACTCCCACAAAGCATCCCTCACCTGTGGTGATGATGTCCTCATACTGTGATCCATCCAGGGCAGCCCTGCTGATTTTCCGCAACGTGCTATCAGACCAGTACACTTTTCCTGGTAGGGAAATAAGAAACATTAAAAATCAGCAAACTCCTTCAAATAGCTCCAGACCTCCTTGAAATTCTAGGCACTTGAATTACTCCGAAAAGCAACAGGGTTGTGCAATCCAGTGCTCTGCCAGCATCCAACTCCACCAGAATAGAACCACTGTAATTGAATGAAAGAGCCATAGCGCCTCCTGTTCCGCCTCTCCCCGAGGGAGGTGCCACAGTGACCGGTGAGGAGCACCGGCTCTGGGGAGCTCACAGCTGCTCTTGAAACAGTCTCTGTACCGAATGATGCAGTTTACTGTTTAAAATGTTCCTGACTAAAGTGTAATCAGACCCACATCTGGTTTTCAGAAGGAGCCCAGGGGACAAGTCAGACATTCTAACCCCCATACAACCCAGACATATAGTGCCAGATACTCTGGCCAGGTTGACCCTCAAAAGTTAAGTCAATCCAGTTACATTGCTCAGGGGTGTGAAAAATCCACTCCCCTGAGCAACACATAGAATTCTTCTGTGAACCTCATTACTGCCTCTTGGCAAGGTGGGTTAACTATGCGGATGGGAAGATCCCTCCCACCACTGTAGTGACCGTCTTTGCCTGAAATGCTCCACTGCACCTGTACCATTTTGAATGTACATGAGTCCGCAGTGTAACTGAACAGCCACCAGCCCAGCTCCTGGTACATTAACAAGACAGATAGGAGAGTAAATTATTTAAATTCAGACTATATGAGCCTGTCTCAGGGGGACCAGGCCACTTATTCCAGCTAGATGGGGCTTCAGCCCTGCCTGGGAGGCAAGTGGAGTCTGTCTTAGAATTATAACAGTGGTAAAGGAAGGGAATCTATGCAGCATACAACTGGAGAAACAGGAGCCTCTATCTGTCCATACCGATAACACTGAGTGAACCACTGACATTGCCTTCCCTCAGAGAGAGGCTGCCAATTAAGAGTTGCAGCCCTGCAACAATTGGAGCTGAATGTGACTAGACAGACAAGGCAGTTCTGACCTTCTTGGGGATCCACTCCAATGGCAATGGTGTTTTTCATAGTGACATTGATTGGGACAACCACATCGGCAAAATACGGGATATCCAAGGAGACCATGCGGATGTCTGTTCTTCTGGCAAAGATCAGGAAGCTGGTCATCCCTGCAGAAAGTTGGGGACAGATCAACAATGTCAGTGAAGGGCAGGGACAAAGTCAAGCTAATTGTTGCTGAGGCACCATCTGCTGAATCATCCTTAAGCCACTGAAGAGACAGCTTCAGCCTTAAGGGAGGGGGGACGGTCTTAGACCTGAAATACAATAAGCAAAGACTTGCCCAACTGCATTGAAAAACTCTGCCGAGTAATATTTGCCTTGGGGTGGGAAGGAAAAGCCTTCATGGAAGTGTTAGTTGTGGGGGAGTGGAAATCAGTTTTCCTACTGAGGAGAACAAGATGGGACCCACGTAGAGTAATTGCTTTTAAGGCCTGAAGCCAGGACTCTCTATGGCACTGAAGGGGAAAGTGGCTATGAGGGGAGGGCCAGGCTTTGTGCAACCCTACTAGGGATGTAAGCAACTAGTCAACTATCCAATAAGCAAAAGCTTATTGGATAGTCGACTAGTCGCTTCCCCCCCCCTTTGCTGCCTGTATCAGAGGCAGCAAGGGGGAGGTGAGAGCAGGAGCCAGTGCGGGGGCAGCCAGCTTAAAAGCCTGTTCTCCCCAGCACCATCTCCATGAGAGGCAGGGAGATAGCAGGGACTGGGCGCGAGCTGGGAATCAGCTGATTCCTGGTTTGCGCCCAGGCCAGAAGCTGCACCTCTGCTTTTTAAATGTACTAAGATCCTGCCAGCTCTTAATACATTTAACAATCAGAAGCCGGGGAATCTGGCACAAGCTGGGACAGCCAATTTCTGGCTTGCGCTGGGTCCCCACCGCTGCGCTTTAGCCTTTTAAATATGCAACTGGGGGGACCCTGCATGAGCCGGGAATCAGCTGTCCCGGCTCGTGCTGGGTCCCTCCTGCTGCTGTGTAGCCTTTTAAATGTATTAAGAGCTGATAGACTCGTAATACATTTAAAAGGCAGAGCCACAGTGGGGTTCGCTCCCGGAGTGGGAGCTAACCCCGCTGCAGCTCCCCCACTTATTGACTAATCGACTAGTCGATGGAAAATCCATCGACTAGTCAATTAGCTGATTAAATGTAACATCCCTAAGCCCTACTATAGAGAACAGCAGCTTTCCTGGAAGGGACTGAATCCACTTCAAACTCAGACAGATCTATGAGACACAGTCTCAACACACAGGTGGCACTGCACTCGCCAAGTTTTCCTTTCGGACAATTTAATCTCCCCACACTCCTCCCAGGACACCCTGAGCCAACTCACAGACTTTCACCACCAGTCCTGAGGGCACAAGCACAACATCAGCTTCTCAAGGGACTGAGAATGGTGAAGTCACACCCAAGTCCCACTGGGAAAGGGTTCCACTAACTAGTGCCCAGGGGCCAGAAGTGGAACATGGGGCTCGAGATCCAATTGCAGTGTTGATCCTACAGCGGAAACTTACCAGGGGAGCAGGTCTTGCCATCAGGTTGGAGGTTGATACCAGTAGGACAGGTGCAGCTATAACCTTTAGGGAGAGGAGCCAGGAGGCACAGATGGCTACAGCCACCATTATTAACTCCACATGCTGTGCGTACTGGAGGGAGGAGAGGAGAAAACCATGAGGCACAGGCACACACCAAGAGCTCTTGGAGGGACACAGCTATAGAGACAGAAGGTGGCAGTGTAGGAGCACACGCTCTTTAAGAGGCCAGGAGGGATTTATTCACACAGGGTATGTCTACACAGCAAAGTTATTTCAAAATAACAGTCCTTATTTTAAAATAACTTTCCTACCATGTACACAGACAAATCGCTGTTTCAAAATAAGTTCGAAACAGCGGAGCACGTATTTCGAATTTAGTAAACCTCATTCTACGAGGAATAACGCCAAATTCAAAATAGCTATTTCGAAATAAGTGCTGTGTAGACACTTATTTCGAAACAGGGGGCCTCCAGCCTTCCCAGGGTGCCCTGGTAGCCACTCCAGCCTCAACCAAGAACACTTCTCTCCCTCCCCCTCTCCCCGGAGCCTTTAAAGGGGCAGACTCTGGCCACAGTGCCTGTGCCAGCTCCAAGCCTGCCAGCCCAGAGCCAGCAGTCACTGCCCTGACCCAGTGGCCCCAAAACATGAGCCAGCAAGCCACTGGCAGTCAGACCTCCACCACTCCCCAGGAGCAGTCTGCCAGCTCCCAGGAGCCTGCCAGGGCCCGGAGAAAGCGGGCACCTTTCTGGTCCAGGGTGGAGATCATGGACTTTATTCAGGTTGGGGGGGGGGGGTGCCCCCAACATCCATGATCTCCTCACTAGACGGAGGAATGCAGACGTCTATGTCAGGATAGCTGCCAGTCTGGCCACCAAAGGCCACATGCAAACCCAGGAGCAGGTTTGCATGACAATCAAGTAGGTCCGGCGAAACCCCCACCCCTCGCCCTGAGCTTCCTCTCCCCCTTCTTCCCTTTGCTTCCCCCTTCCAGCTCCCTCCTCCCAGGAGTGGTGGATGCTACAGGCCTGTCTGCTTTGTTCCCCAATGAGGTAACATGAGCAGGTTCCTTTCCCGCTGTCATTGCCCCCGCATGGCCAGGTCAGTGTACAATTGCAATCCCTCCATGGGATCCATTGCAGGACCAGGGTTTGGAAAAGGTGGGTACCTTCCTGGTCCAGGGTGGAGATTATGGACTTTATTCAGTGGGCAGACCAGGGAGACTGTTAGTGCTCGTCAGGGTGGAAGCTCTCCCGCAGGGCCTCCTGGTTACTGACAGCCCCCCGATGGACCTCCTGGATGGCAGCCTGCAGGAAGTGCAGCCAGGCTTGCAGCAATGCATCCAAGAGAAGCACCAGAGTGCCCAGGGGCAGCTCCGGCTCCATGTTTCAGAGTGCTGTGGTGTCCCGAGTGAGGGCAGCCAGAGCATGCAGAGACAAAATGCTTTGCTGTTCCTCTTCGAGGTAGAAAAGCAAGCAGGGAAACCTAAGAACTGGCTGTCCAGAAGGGTCCCTTTAAGCACAGACCTCAGATAGCCTCAGGCAGCAGCCCCGCATAGTAAGTCCTAATGTGGTGCCCTGCCAGACCTGGTTCCGACCAACCTTAAATGTGATTCAGAATCCACTCAGTGTGGACTTGCTATTTTGAAATGCATTTTGTGTGTAGACATGTTATTTCGAAATAAGATATTTCGAAATAACACTGTAGTGTAGACATACCCATACACTCTCTCTCTCACCAGAAGTGCAGGGCAGCAAGAGTCTGGGTGAGCTCAGAGCTGCCTGTGGGGGCGAGGCTGACTCTGTACCTGTAGGTCTGTGCCGGTGGAAAACATGAATGTCCATGAGGTTCTCCAAGTTATGCTGCAGTGTTTCGCGAGCTTGCCCTGTCCTTTTCTCTGCACTCTGGATGCTCTTGGCCTGCCAGTCTGTCCAGTAGATCCGCTCACCATAAAGAGTAAGTCCAAATGGGTGGGGCAGATTGCTTTCAATCAGCACCTGTCAGCCCCAAAACAAAAGTCCCCGGAGATCACATGGGTTTCCTCTCTCCCCTCCAAACACCCCCTAGAATGGATGAGGCTTGGAGAACAACAAAAGGGATAAGTAAATGGCAAAATAGCTTCAAGGTAGGAAAAGGTTTGTGTGGGGGAGGTGGCCACCCATATACTTCACACTTACAAATGGGGTTCTTTTCTCTCTGTGCATGTAGCTGATAAAAACTTGATTTAGAAACTTTATTTCCACTTCTCCCAGGCTCTTTTTTTTGCCAGCACTCTGCCCTCTACAACTGGCAGGCAGTACCCCACCTCCCCTCCCCTCTCGACTAGTTCTCTTACCTTTCTCTCACTGCCATCCAAGTGGGCATACTCAATGGTCTTCATGCCAGCATCTGCCCAATACAGGCGCTGAGACTCATAGTCAATGGCCAACCCATTGGGCCAAGTCAGGTTGGAGGAGATGATCACCAGGCGGCTGGAGGCATCCATACCAGCGCGCTCAATCTTCGGGCTTGCCCCCCAGTCAGTCCAGTACATGAACCTGAACACAGGGCCCAAAAGGGAAGTGAGCACCTGCACTTCTACCCCTGCTCACCATTCCAGTGGCTTGGTGCCTTCAGCAGTGGGAAACAGTGCCAGTGGGAAACAGTGTCAGGCTAACATGATCTGTACTTCCATTTCCAGGGCCCTGCCACCTTTTTATACACATTGTCCTAGTCCAGAATCCATACCCCCTCCTCAGTCAAGAACCTGGCAAGGAGGAGGGAGGTGGTAAGACTGAAATAGGATGCAGAAGCAAGCTGGGTTAATGCAGCCTGATGCTTGGCACTGAAAGATCCTGCAGCTAAAAGGCAGAAGCTTTTCTTACAACATTCGCTTCCCACAAACCTCCTGTTGTGAGATTTGCTTTCAGTAGAAGAGTGAAACGTTGGAGACTCTCATGGGATATGTATATTCCTGGGCCAAAGGCCCATTGAGTCTACAACTCACTTGTAACCTATAATGCTTGCACTAATTTAGCTGGGGATAGTCCACTGTAATTCACTTTTGACTTCAGAATCATCTAATGGCTCAGCAAATAGCACAGCTCTCACAAGAACTCAGCATGGATATGGAATGAAATGAACACAACAATTACGTCAATAAAAGCCCTCATTCTTGTCTCATTTTACACGAGTGTAATGATATGGACTTCAGTGTGTTACACCTGATTTACACCATGTGATAGTGGGATGAGGCCCAAAATAGCAGCTATCACTCAGAGCTGTCTCTTGTAGAAGTGGCTGCTGCTTGTCTTGTGGATGCCATCAGCATCCCGAAGCCAAGCCCTTCTTCTCAGACCTTGGTTACACTAGTTATGGAGGCCTTTTTAGGTGAGGGTCTCTACAGCTCCAAGGTGTCCATATAACGGTAATGACACAATGACTCAAACTAGGGATGTAATAGTGTAGTCAATTAATGAATAAGCAAAAGCTAATAGGTTAATGCTATAGACTACACGCATTTCCCTCCCCCCACCCTTCTCAGTACATTTTTTAGCAGGCTGGCCAGCAGCCCAGCTGAGTTTCGGCTTGCACCAAGTCCAGAACCTACTCCTGCTGCAGCTCTGAATGTAAAGTGCATTAGGAGCCAGGCAGGCAGCCTTTATCAGAGGCAGCAGCACTGGGCAACAGGCAGCCAGTCCACAAGGGGAGCTGGTTTTTAAACTGGCTCCCCTCGTGCACCAGCTCCTACCTGACACCCTGCACTGCTGCCTCTGATAAACGGCTGCTGGCCTTGCCCCCAGGGACTATAGAATAGTCGACTAACCAAGTCTAACTAAGAATTCATGAGGTTACTCAACTATTCAATTAACCAATATTAAACATCCCTAACTCAAACCCGAACACAGACACACAGAAGTGATCACCATGTAATCCCCAGAGGAAAGAAGTTCTCACCCTCCAACAGGGTCCACCACAATATCTCTTGGTCTGTCTAGGTTCTCCCAGATCAGTACAGTCCTCATAGTCCCATCTGTGTTGGAGACTTCTATCCGGTCTGTTCCTATAGGAGAGAGGGATGCGGGGAGCAAACTGACTTACTTAGTAGACAACTCACACATTCAGTGTCTCAACCGCAGCAACTGTTGAAACCCTGTGCATCTAGGAAGAAGTGCTCTGCCATTACAGGCATTTAGCTAAGTCCCAGAGGATGTCTAGGAGGATATTTTCCTAACATACCTCAGATCTCTAATCCTCTGGCAGGAATATCCTCCAGATTCTAACCATGCTGACACTGAGATATATAGGGGGAACACACAAGTGAAAGCCTGCTGCAGACTCTGCAGTGAGCAGCTAACAGATGTTCTTAGACATTCTTGCAGACATCAGCAACAGGGATGGAGCCCAAGCAGAGGTAACACAGGAAGTCAAGCTGGTTCCTACTTCATTAGAAAGGTGGGGTAGGAGAACCACGTGTTTGTCAAATCGAGAAGGACAAATTTGAAAGACACAGAGATGGGGCGGCCTATCTGAGGCTGAGTTTTTATGAATAGCGAAGAAGATTATACCCTGTAGAGAGCAGAAGATCCCAGTACCTGCATCGGTCCAGTACAACTTGTTGGTGACCCAATCGATAGCCAATCCAGCAGGGCTTTCCAAGCTGGTGTCCACCACAATCTGAGCAAGAACCAAAGCAAAAGTCACCAAACAAGAAACTCCAATGAGAACAGTTCTTGAGCCTGGCTCTCCACCAGTCAACTATGAGCAGCGCAAACAACTCAGGCTGGCAAAATCCAAGCAGGAAAAGCCCCCATAAGAAATAGTGTTGAGGACTTCATAATTCAGACATGTCATTTAAAAAATGGATATTGGATACCCCCATTTTCTACCTTTATTTCGTTTCCTAACCACCAAACTCTTGAGCCCTGTCAACTGTTCTCTGGGTCTGTCTATGGCAGCCTGAGAATAAGCCAAAGGGGATTCAAAGGAAAGCACAGTCCTTAACATGTTCTCAGCTTCTGCTGAGCCAGGGAAAAGGGGATTTAAACCTTGTTCATTTGTGCTTTATTGGGGAAAAATGAAAATTGAAACTGGGTATTTACAAATCAGTGTTATTTCTTGCCCTAATTCAGGGGTGGGCAATAAGCGACCATGGTTTGCCAGGGTTTGCCTTTGGTGGGCTGCCAGGCACTTTATTTACCTGCATGTCCACAGGTACAGTCGCTTGCTGCTCCCGTTGACCAAGGTTTGCCATTCCTGGGCAACAGGACAACTTCCTGCAGCTCTCATTAGGTGGGAACAGCAAAGTACAGCTAATGGGAACTGCGAGCAGCTGTACCTGCAGATGCACAAGTAAGTAAAACATCTGGCAGCCAACCAGGGATTAACCCTGGTGAACTGCGTCTGGCCTGCTAGCTGCTTATTGCCCACCCCTGCCCTAACTTGCAGGAGATCCCAGACAAGGAGATTGCACACACAGCACTCACAAAAGTCGGAGAGCTCACCGTGGATCACCAGTGATTAACATGAGCCAAAAATAACATGGGATTGGACAGGACCAGAGCAACAGACTCCAGGAAGGCTAGTACAGCCCACGTGGCTCACACAGACACCTCAAGCCAGATACATAAGACAGAGGGCTCAGATGCCCAGAAACTGGTATCCCCACATACACAGGACACTGTACCTCCTGGCCTGATCCATCCCATTTTGCTCTGCTAATGGAGTCAGTGCTGACATCTGTCCAGTAGACATAGTCATCTTTTGAGTCCCAGTCCAGAGCCACAGCACTGCGCACATCAGCCAGGGGGATGACATCATCTGACAGGTCTTCTGTGTCGAAGCTGATCCGACGGATGTCCATCCTTCGGGCAAAAAGCAGGAACTTGTCAAGACCTGATCAAAGGTCGAAAGGTCTTCTTTTAATTTCTCTAAGTTCAACAACATAGTGACAGACACAGACAATTCTCCTCTTCCATCGGAGCTCCACTGCCTACACACCACTCAATGCTGATTCATAGGCCAGGCCCTCGCTGCTGGGAATAATGTGGTGGGGGGAAGGGAAGGAGGAGAACATGGTGCTGGAAAGCTGTTTCCAGGGGGTGTGGGAAATCACACTGCATGGAACAAGCCCACTCTGGCCCTCAAAAGATGGCATTGATCTGATCTAGAGCAGGTAGCTTTGCCATCTTTTGTGATTCCAGGAGACAAGAGGCTAATTCTCCTGTAACCGAGTGCACTGTAAATCAGGAGCAATTCCCCCAGCAGTTGACGGAATTAAGCTATTCATGTCTCACAAAGGCCAATGGATGTAGCTCACGCAGGAGTTTCCAGGTGACACACACATTCAGCTGTGGACACACACTGCGGCCTTAGCACTACTGCAGGTGGAAGCAGACTGGAATGGGTCTGCAAAGCAAGCACGCATCTTGCACCAATTTGCCACTCAGCGGGAAGTGCCAAAGGATGATGGGAACTTACAGTAGGTCCCCCTCTATTACCCTACTCTCCTCTAAAGGGTTTTTCTGCTGCACCTCTCTGACCCCATGCCTGGAAGTGACACAGCTGCTGCTTGCTCAGATTTCTAACCCGCATCTACACATGGGATGTGGGGCTGCGTGAACACATCCAAGACTGGGAGCATTTGGGTCTGTGGCATGCAGGTTCCGATCCCACCCCACTTACTCTGAGCACAGGTGCGGCTGCTGGTCTTGCGGAAGCCTGTGGGGCAGGCACAGGTGTAATCCTTGCTATTTGGCAGGCACAGGTGAGTGCAGCCCCCATTGTTGGCCCCACAGCGGTTTTTCCCTGCTCAAATAGCCAAAAACAAAAACAACCACACATAAGGCAACCAGTAAAGAGAGCCAGAGATGCAGAGGGGTGCACGCATGCATACACACGTAAGAGCTGGGAAAGGACAGCTATTTGGCCCTCCTGCCCATTCAAGCAGACCAGCCTCTCAGAGAGATGGGCACTGTGGGCTTGTACTCCAAGGGAAATTATTCTGGAGTATGGTAGGAAGGGATTTTGAAGTGGTGTAAGTATTTCAAAAAAACTTGTATGTACACAAGCCCTAAACTAGCGGTCCCAAAACGTATTTGGTTGCATCCACCCCCCTCACCTAGTCCACCGCCTCACAGGAGCTGGGAGCCACGATCAGGAGCAGGGCCAGTGCTACCACTGAAGCCGAGAGCAGGGCCACGGTTGGGAGTAGCCCCGTGGCCAGCAGCAAGGCTATAGCTGGGGCCAGGAGTGGGGCCATGATCAGAGCTACAGCTGAGGCCGCAACTAGGAGTGGGACAGCTGGGGTCAGGACCAGAGTGGAGCCCAGTGGGACAGCAGGGTGGGGAGGTGGGGAGTCCCTCTCCATTCCCTGTGGGGGCTGGCCCAAACCCCACTGCTCCCTCTCCTGAATGTTCCTCCACACCCCCCTTACAGGGCACGCTTCATAGTTTGGGAACTACTGACCTAAACGTTCACTATCAGAAAGCAACTGCCCCCCCAGTGCAAACAACAGGAGCTATGATACACCCATCCAACATCATCAAACCAAGTTTCTCAATGGAGAAATTTGTGCTGAACTCTAGTAGCAGAGGGAAGCGTGGGGAGGTGCGTGGAAGGGGGAGAAGGTGAGGAGTAGATAGAACAGTATTCCTGAGGCCTAGGCCTGGTCTCGCCCTGCTGTAGATGCTGGGTGGTGGACAAGTTCCCAGCTAGTTGGCTTTCCCTCTGCAGATGTGTCTCCCTGTCCCCTCTGCAGTTACCTGCTGGCTGGCGCTGAGGGTGCAGTGTGTGGATGTCCATGGGGAAGTGGAGCTTGTTGCGGATGATCTCCTGGTTCTTGCCGGTAAATTTATTGGCACTGTTGATGCTCTTGGTGTGCCAGTCTGTCCAGTACAGGCTGTCCTCAAACACTGTGATTGCAAAGGGGTGTGGGAGGCCTGCAGCAAGAGTCCAGCACAGAGATCAAGGTTAATCCAGACCCCAAGGAAGCCAGACGAGCAGAAAAGCAGAGGAAAGCCCCTGAGCCTGTTTCTCTGGCCCACTCCTGCACAGCCAAGGGTCTCTGACCCCAATAGACTCAACAGAGCCAAAGCCAGAGTGCACCAAAGAGAGATTTGCCTCTCTTCAAGGGCTGAGAGGGGCAGAGCCTGTTCCCAAGGGGTGGGAAAAGTATGGCAGGCTCACCCCATGGTGGCGTCGGGGAACTGGGGGAAATGGCAAGTAAATGTAGCCACCCTCATACAGGTTGCGCCAAAGCTCGCTCTGTGCTGCTACCTCTTCCCTCTTGCAGCATAGCGCTCACCACAGGCTATCAGCCCACTTCCCACCTTGGCTGATAACAGCCTTCCTGTTCCGCCCATCCAAGTCGGCCCTCTCGATGACATGGTGCTTGGCATCCACCCAGTACATCCGGTGCCCGGCATAGTCGATGGTCAGCCCGTTGGGCCAGAAGAGGTGCGTATCGGCAATGATGCGTCGATTGGAACCATCCATGCTGGAGTATTCAATGCGAGGTGTGTTGCCCCAATCTGTCCAGTAGATGGTGCTAGAGGAGGGAAGGAGAGTCCTGAAGGCTAGGAAATTGAGGCCCTCAGAATGGTACCAGGCATCACCTTGCAGCCAAGGAGAGAACAAGCTGATTCCAACCTCAGGCTACGGGACTGGGTCCAGTCACAGGGGACACAAGAGCAGCCATAGCCTGTCGTGCAACACTCTTTGGATTCAAGTTGGGAAGGGAAAGCACCTCCATAGCTGCATCCTGGCCTGGCGCGTCCTGCTTCGTAAGGCTCCCTAGCTCTGTGAGCAGAGGCAATACTGTGTGCATAGGGGTGGCCCTGGGCCAGGAAACAACAAGTCGAGGCCAAGGATAGGGCCCTCAATGCTCAGTCCCATGCATCTGGAACAATATTTAATGTGGAATGAAGTGGTGCCGGGGCTCAAGCAATTTCTTTACTTTCATAACTGAGGTGGCAAACCCCGAGATGCCGGGGCTGTGGAATGCCAAGCCTAGAGGCGCCAGAGTCAGGCCTTGCAGAAATCAAGCACATATTTGGAGGGTTCCCTCAAGAGGGTCCAACAGAGGAGTTAGAGGCGCCTCACGCTCCTACTTACCCCTTCATGGGGTGCAGCGCAATTGCTCGTGGCTTCTCCAGGTTCTCCCACAGAAGCACCTTTCTATGGGTGCCATCCAGATTGGCCACTTCAATCCGAGATGTCCCAGAGTCTGTCCAATACAGCTTGTCATGGATCCAGTCAATGGCAAGTCCACCTAGCCACGGGGGAGAATTAAGCACAGATCAAACCCAAGAATTACAGATTATGCTGCTAGGAACAATCCCTCTTTCCCCTCAATCTCTCTGGAGGCCCAGCCAGGAGGCAAGTACTCTCCCCCATCCCCATCCAAGGAGACCCATGCACAGGGGATATATCCCAGCTGATTCTCTCTTCCTTCACTCCCACACTGTGGAGTCTGACAGCTTCCCATGCCTTTGCCCCAAGTGCTGACCACAAACCTGGGCTCTCCAGCCCCGTGGAAACCACCTCCTCCACATTGCTGCCATTGAGGTTGGCCCTCATGATGCGGTCCAGTGTGACGTCTGACCAGAACACCAGCTCTTTGCTGTGGTGGAAGTCGAGTGCAATAGCATTCTCCAGATTATTCAGGAGCAAGGTGTACTCCGGGCGGTGAGGCAGCACCTGCCGGATGTCAATCCGATTGGCAAAGAGCAGCACAGGCTCTGGCCCTGAGGGACACACAGAAGAGAACATGAGGAGAACCTGGCATGGTCTCTCCTGAGCCCAATGTCATCACATCATTACAATGGTACCAGAGAGCTAGCTGGAGGGTATAAAGCACTGGAAGGAGAAGACAAGGTGGATGTTCACCAAGAGCTGATCACACCCATCCCATCTCTGAGCTTTTCACACTCACATCAACCCCAGTACCCATTCCCACAGAAACAAGCCCCTGCCCACAGCATGCTGACATCACATACGTGCATATGGTGTGCTCCACCCGCCCCCTCTCCAAAACAACTCCTTGCACAGTTTACAGTCTGAAAGGACAGACGAGACAACAGCTACAGTCAGTCCTAGCATCTTAGCAGAGAGGAGCTGCCTTTTTGCTCTCTTTTTTGTTTTGTCTTGTAAATGGGCGTACAAGGGCACTTGTTGAGCTATGCTACATTAAGAAAGCTAAGGAAAGCCCATGGTGTCCACCCACAGAGAATGAGATACGCAAACACAAAGCAGAGTCCGGCCAATACAGAATCAATGATTATGAGTCTGTTTCCATTTCTGGTTACAAATTACAGTCCAAACCCATAGAGGAGCAAACAGCAATCCACATGACAGGGAAATTCTTTTTGCTGCAGGGTGTAGAACACAAGGGAGCCAGAAGAAGAGGAGCTAGGCCTGACCCTACCAGAGGGAGAAGTGTGGTGCTAATCAGCTACCAACCACTGGGCTGTAAATCCAGAGGGTGAGTCTGTGCCCTAAGCAGATCATACCATCGCTAACTCAGGCCTGAAACCCCCACCTCTCTTGCATGTTGGTAGCACTTATAACCTAGCCAGGCTAACAAAGTGTTACTGAAACGAGTTACCAGAGTGTGCACACACATACCCATGTACACTAGCGCTGACCATTCCTTCTTACCCAGAGCTTTGCAGCTGCGCTTGTCCGGACGAAGCTCATAGCCTTGCTCACACCAGCACTGGAAGCCACCCTCACTGTTGGTGCAGCCCTGGCTGCAGTAACCCTCCTCAGCACATTCATTCACATCTACAGCCGGGTAAGGGAACAAAGTTACAATTTGATCATCATGATCCCACCCCTACCAGGAGCTCTCCAGCTCTCCCTGTTGCTCTCTCTCTATGTCCATGTTCCAACCTCCTCTCTTGTCATGTACTTCCAGCTGTGAGTGCCTTAGTGCAGCAGTAAGGAGAGCTGGAATGACTGTGTCCCAGCCTGCTCACCTTGACATGATCGGCCATCTTCCACCAGCCTGTAACCTGTGTGGCAGGTGCACTGCACCGTCCCTCGTGCCATCTGGCACTTCTGGGCACAGCCCCCATTGCTGAGGTTGCAGTTCTCCTCACCTGTCCGTGGACCTGCAGGTGCAGCAACACATAAAGAGGACAGAGATGAGACAAGGCAGCTGCTCAGCTCTTGTTAAGACAGCAACCACCCTGTCTACAGGGAGGTGACACCTCCTGCAAAAGGCTGCACCCCTCTTCCCCAGTGGCAGTAAAACACTCTGCTCAGATGAAGGGTAACCAGTACGCTCAAGACCTGCACATTGGCAACTGGAACAGGATGCTTTGGGATTCACTCACTGCAAAAATACACAGGGGCTGGACAGCACAAGATTGACCCTCCTATTGTGCGTCCCGCCCCCCAAAGCCTGCGCGTCAGTCACTCACAGACCATTTCTAGGATCTCTTCCTCGGAATTTATAACTCCCATGAAGATCACTAGGATTGTTTCCCTGGGCCCCAGGCTCTCAATAACATTATGGGGGAGGAACCCCACCTTACCCAGCCTGGCTATGTGGCACTGGGAATGGGGAGACTCACGGCAGTTTTGGTGAGGGCTCTCGTCGCTGCCATCTCCACAGTCGTTAGCGCCATTGCACAGCTTCCTCTGGCCAATACAGCGCCCGTTCCCACAAAGGAACTGGTCAGGGGCACACTGGGGACTCCCTGTGGGGACAGAAGGGAAGCCCATACCCAGAACTAGGGTACAAACAACAATAACTCAGAGGTTTGCTGCACAGGACAGTAAGTCCCAGAGCAGAGAGCAGAGGAGCACAAAGTGGGGGAGGGGGACAGGCTCAGGAGTAAGGGGTGGGGATAGCCAGCCCTCTGTCTCCGTCGTCCCCCCCCGCACCAGCCCTCAGTGCAGCACCCTCACCCAGCCCGCCCTAAGAGCTGGACAAGCGCGCCAGGCCCCAGGGCAATTGCCCTCTTTGCTCCACTGTCAGCAGGCCTGTGCCCAGTGCAGTTTCCGCACTAGAAGCTGTTGCTGAAGGGTGGGAGAGGGGAAAGGAATCGATGCTTAGCTACCTATGTCGAACTCAGAGCCATCGCTGTAACAAAAAGCGTAGCTGCCCTCCGCCAACCTGTACCTGTGTTCTCGCAGCTCTCCTCATCACTGTTGTCAGAACAGTCATCCTCTCCGTCACAACGCCATGACAAACGGACACAGCGCCCAGATTTACAGCGGAACTGGTCAGCTGTGCACATGGATGTGGCTGGGGAAACAAAGGAAGAACCACAAGGCAGAGTAATTACAATCCAACCCACCAGCCTCATGTCCTAATTCCCTTCCACTCCACATCAGCATCACAGACCAGGCCTCTGCCTCACATTCCAGATACTCACTGCAGTTCTTCTCATCTGACTGGTCGTCGCAATCGAAGTCGCCATCGCATCGCCAGCCTGGGTTGATACACAAGCCATTGTTGCACATGAATTCTCCGGAGCGGCAGGGCTGGTGAGAAGCTGCAGAGAGGGCACAGCCCATTAGTACCACGGCATTCCAGTTCCCCCAAGGCCACTCTCATGTCAAACTGGCAAGAACTTGAACCCTGTGCTCAGGGCAACCCTAAATCTCTCGCTGCCAGAAGCCAAGAAGGGATCCTGGGCAGATCACTCCAGTTGCCCCATCCTGCACACTCACTCCCCAGGAAGTTCTGGCACTGGCCTCTGTCAGAGACAGGATATTGAGCTAGATGGACCCTGTATGGCCGTTCTTATATAACTGACCCATTTCAGGAATGTTTCAGCTTCTGTATCCAGGGCTCCTGGCTAGACAATGTCCCTGCCACCAGGACCCAGGCCAACAAAACCAGCTGGGGCTCCTCCAAAAGGATCTTTCCCTCAAGACAGTGTCTCTTCTCAGTCACCTCCCCCAGGCCCAGCCAAATTCTTCCATTTGGATCAATGTGCCAGCTGCCGGGACCCAGGAAACTACTCTGGGAGTTACTCTCTCTTGCTGCTGACTCACAGCAGTCAGACTCATCAGACCAGTCCCCGCAGTCATCGTCCCCATCACAGTGGTAGATGTCCAGGATGCAGCGTCCATAGGCACACTGGAACTCCTCCAAGCTACAGGTTGTGGCTGGAACATCTGATGCTAACAAGGAAACCAAGGGGAAAGAAAGGCTATGGGCACACGCCAATCCAGGGTATGCTTATGCTGGTGGGAACAAGAGGAGCCTAGCAGGCATGCCATGCAGCACGTGCAGTGCATATGCACAAGTGGCTCACTCCCTCCAGCCCTCAGGGTGTCCACAGCACTGACAGGGACCCATATGCTTCACTGGAAAGCTATTGACAGCTGCATGCAGTGGAACCAACCCACTCAGCACCAGC